AAAAGATGTTTAGTTCCCACTTTAAGTCAAGTCAAGTCAAGTCACCTTTATTTATATGCAGCTCGAACGTGTCCTCACCTGCACTCAAAGGTAGACACACATCCGCCATTAAAGCAAGTAACAGTGAATAGAGTATTAGTAATGTAAGCGAGATTAGCGGCAACCACGCTGGCGATGCTAGCGGGCTATATGCTAATAGCGGACAAAAATAGAACTAGTGATAACAAGGCGCTCTGATTGTTTTTGTTGTAGAATACGATAGGGGATATATTCACACGTTATAGAAACGAGCCCTTAGTTGACCCTTAGTTCCTAGGTCATCTACAAGATGGATTAAAATGCTGATAAAGTCAAGAAAAGATGAGACATAAACACATGACAGTATGTTTTAAATGTTAAAATGTAAAAAAAAATAAGAAAAAATTAAATAAAACACTTTTATTCTGTGGCGCCTAAAAAAATAATTTGGCACCTACGTTTTTTTCTTATAGGAGCTAATGGCTCCTTACTCGATTTTTTTTGTCTGGAGCCCTGAGACCTTAGCCTGGAGAATGGAGCATTGTGGGTAGGTGGTGGTTGTTCATGAATGTGTGGTGTAAAGTACTGACTGACTTTACCTAAGAAAAAAAATTGTCACAATAATTAGCCATATAAATCGCACAGCTTGGTGTAACATCAGAAATACCAGAAGATAAACTACAAAGGCCTGTAATGATCTTTAAAAATGCATAGTTCTACCATAAGAAGAACTAGTGTTATTGAAGTATTATTTATATACTAATATATTATTTATTAATATATGCTCTTATTTTTATATTTTGAGACTTCAGTTTAATTTTAGTTTAGTTTTGGTAATTTGATGTGTTTTTGGATTCCCCCCCAGTTAATTTTTTCAGTTTTAGTACTTTAACTCAAACTAACTTATTTCAGTTAATTGACAAAGCAGTATTTCTTCAGTGTTTTTTTCTAATATTTGTTGATCAAGTTTTTCATCTAATGTTCATATTTTATATTAGTTCTTTGTTTTTTAGTTAATTTATTTATTTTTTTTTTCAGTTTGATAGTTATAGTTTTAGTTTACAAAAACAACACTGTGAAGAAATCCAGGTGTGTGTGTGTTTGTCTTAATCGAAAGATATAAGACTATCCCTGCGTCTCAATGGTCATACTATCCATCCTAAATAGTATGTGAGATTAAAATAAGTGTGTCCCAAAGCATAGTATGTTATAAAGAGTATGCCAAAAGTCCCCGGATGGTCTGCTATTTCAGGTCGATTTTTGAAGTGTGGATCCGTGCACATTCTAATGGCTAATATTACCCACAAATCATTGCGCTTTGACATGAATAAAAAGTTTTAAAAACTACAAACATGGTGGATGTGCGTGACCGACGGTTGAGTAGAGAGGTTTAGATAAAGGGGTTTGAGTTACTAATAATCAACATTTAACCTGGTAAAAAAGTATTTAATGTTATCCATGTTATATTTCATCTGCAACAGCAATGTAAACTTTTATAAACATCCGTTTGGTCGTTAACTTTTAAATGCATCATTATGCAGAAAATGTGAGCAGAGTTCTCCTCATGAAGACCCGCGACTCGCAGATCAACGAGCTACTTCTTTTCTCTCCAGTACGGTAGGAAGTTAAATGAAATGAAAAGTGGAGGATATAAACTGTGACAAGATGATTGACAGGCCAGTTTACAGTGACAGGGTGCGTGTAACTATGTGACAGAGCGGTCCGTTAAAGACGCAATTGTATGACGTGATAGTATGTCCCAAAGCTTGTGTACTCTTTTACTACACACTCAAAAGTGTGTACTTTTTCCTCACCAAAAAAGTACATACTTTAAGGACGTAGTATAAGTAGGCACATTGAGACGCAGCATATTACAGAGCATAGTAATGGAGGACCCCACAGCTGCCATTTATCACACTAATTACACTACAAGGCAAGAGAGGAAGAGATCACTAAAAAGAGCAAGAGAAAGACTATGAGGAAGAAAGAGATGGCACTATAGCAGGAGAAACAGATGGCAGCCTTCGGTAATATGTAGCACTTAGCATAGAATGATAGAGGAGCTCAGATTTGTACATCTCATAGAATTTTTTTGTTTGGGGTGATTTGTTTCCCACAGACTTAAATTTGTGTTTTTGCGCACATAATGGTGTGTGCATACGAGGATAGGCATATGTATGAGTGTGGATGTGCCTCGGGCCATTGCTGTGATGGATGGACTGCTGAATGTGTGTGTGTGTGTGTTTGAGCTCCTGAGTGGAGCGTTATTAATGCGATTCTTCCACATCCTTGATGTGCCAGTAAACCAAAGGACTTTGCGCTGGCCTGTGTACTTTTTCGCCCACCCCACAGGCGCACATACACAAATACTTTTCTTTGCCCTCACAAAAGCACATTAACATTCACACCCACACCCACACTTTTGCAAACACGCCCACACATTTGGCCTTTTGGCTTGCTTGCACCCAACCCTCTGGACAACTGGACAGTCAGATCACACACACACACTAAATGCCGTCTTTCTCCGCGCAAGCTGTCAGTCTGTTTAATCAGTAGTTTAGCACTCTTCTCCACTGTGCAAGTGTGAGAACACAGTGCGTCTCTGTACCGACGGCTGTAGTGGAGATGGATGACTGCGCCGATATTAAAGCCCTCCTCTGCTCTGTGGAGACAATTTTAAGTCCCTGCTGGGTGTTAAATAGCTAAGTCGTTTTATTCCTGCACACGATTCAGATTGAATAAGTTTGAACTGCAGCTTAGAGATTGTGCTTGTGCATTTTTTTTCAATTCATATTGATTAAAGGGCCATTTTCTATACTTTTATAGTCCAATTAAAATGTCAAGGTTTCTTGCACCAAAAATAGTTGTTAAGCTACTTTCAGTTCTCAGCTCTCCCAGACCCATAGAACTAAAGATGTATAATAAAAGTGTTACTTTTTTTCTGATGTTAAAATATTTTCTCCTATCCTAGCTTAATATGCAAAATCAACAGTGGTGTATAAAATACCTGAAAGTCATACTCAAGTAAAAGTACAGATATCTTACCAGAAAATGACTTTGGTAGAAGTTGAAGTCACCGTTTAGAATATTACTTGAGTAAAAGTCTTAAAGTATGTGATATGTATTGTACTTAAGTACGAAAAATGTTTTTTAAATCTTAAACGTACTTAAGTATTGAAAGTAAAAGTACAAGTTAATGCAAAATGGAAAAGAAGCAAATAAGGCAAAATTGAGCAAAAACAAGCAATATTATGTCTAAAATGTAAGTCACTTATTGCTTTACTGAACTTGAATAAAATGATTAATAAATGTGTTCATGCTGATATCTGCAGAAAACTCTTTGTGTGATATAGATTAAGTTAACTATATTCAATTATATAGACAAAAAGCATACAGAAGCATTTTTGCCATCTACAATTTATGCCTGGAATTTTGAGTTTTAATAGACAAATAAATCAACGTGCGTGAACTCTGTGTGATTTGGTGATATAGCCTACTTGATAATGTCCGATCGCACATCATTACAACAACACTTACCATATTATCGCAGACGATATACTGTATATCGCACACCCCAGCCTCGACTTGAGTGGAAAATGAAATCACCAGCGGTTGCGCGCACTTGTTTGCACATGAGCAAAGGTGTTTTTAGGAGTCTTAACTTGCAGACGCCAGACCACTGATTCGTCAAACCTGCTTTCCTGCAGTCCGTGTTCTTCTGACTTCTGACTATTTTGTAGTAAGTAACGAATTTGCTTTGGGGAAATGTATCGGAGTAAAAGTATACATTTTAATTAGGAAATGTAGTGGAGTAAAAGTAAAAGTTGGCTGAAATATAAAAACTCAAGTAAAGTACAGATACTCCCAAAAAATACTTAAGTACTGTAACGAAGTATTATTACTTCGTTACATTACACCACTGAAAATAAAATCAACAATATGTAAATTGATTTACTAGTGTTAAAGTCAGCATGAAATGGAAATTCACCGTCTATGTTCTATAATGTCAATCTTCCGGTGAAATAACAGACTTCTCTCTGGTGACGTATGTTGGACTTTATTGGATCATTTAATCAGCTTAAACCTCTTCTATTTCTTACAATGAACAGCAAGCGTGCATTTAGATCTGCCTCCATTCAATCAACAACCCATGAATTGACCCACATCTCACTAAGTTTCACTTGAAAGAATCTGATGCTAATTCAGTTACATCATTACTTTTAAAAGTGTTAACACTGGCAGTGTGGCAGTATCAAAACATTGCTCTGTTTGAACATCCTGACCAGGCCAAAAGCATTGGTTAAAGCAATGTTCAAGTTTGGGATGGGACTATATGTTTGGAAATCTTTTTAAAACAATCATTATGCACTTCATTTTGCACTTAAGCTTTAAAATGGGATGCTTTTTGCTACTGTGCCTCTAAGACTTCCATGTAAACACCCTCTTCACTTGTGAGATGAATTGAAAAACAGTGCTTATTTAAGTTTGCTGTCAGGTGCAATATAGTTGGCTCTGCCTCATCCTTCAATGACAACCTCTGCACAGCCTGCATTACATTGTGACAGGTTCACAAAACAATCCACAAAGAAATGTGCTGCACAAACTGTGAAGGTCAGACTGAAATAATCAGGGATGTTGTTAAAAATAAACTTCAAATGCTTGTTTCTAACATTAGGATCCTTCTGTCTATGCAGAGACACAGGTGCTACCCCACAGCACAATGTTTGCTGAACTTCCTGAACCTCTGAGATAACAAATGGATTTTTTTTTTAAATGTGTCCTGTCATTTACATGCTCATGGCTGTGACAACACAACCATGCTTACAGGTTGAGCCATTTTTGCAGCTTATTTTTCATAAATAGTTTGAGAAACCTGAGGAGGGAGTTTTGCATTTAGAGCATTCGAGTATAGAGTTTGCTTCAAAAGAACATGAATATTTCTTATCTGTAATGTTTGATATCACTTGTGTGTGTTCTATCAGATGCTGAGGACGTGCTCCTTACCAGACCTCAGTAAAGTATTCAGTGATGCTGCAGAACCTGAAGTTGCAGTCGCTCCTGACAACAACCTGGAGATTGAAGATCTGGAGGATAAAGCAGATGAGCAGTCTGAACCTGAGGAGTAAGACACACAAAACATGCATGCATGTGTACCTGCTCTCTCTCTCTCACACACACACACACATTCACTTATGACTGTGTCTCTCTCAGTGTGTACGAGGATGATGATTTGAGGGAGCTCAGAGCATCTATGGAGAGGCTTCTCCAAGAGCAGCGCGGTGATGATGAAGATGATGACGAAGAGGACGACGATGGCGGTGGATCCAACAGTAGTCCAGCTGATGAAGAGGCAGCTGGCCTTAATGGGTTGGCTAGTGCTGGTGTTGACAAATGCAGTCCAGAGGAGGAGTGTTTTAATGGAATGGCTGAGGAAGATGATGATGTTAGCCATGGTGAAGAAGAGCCAGGAGGGCCAGTTACTAACGGAATGGAGGTTGAGGAGGATGAAGAGCAGAACAGTAGTGAAGGCCAGCTCAATGAGGAGTGGCAGTCTGGTAATGCATCCATAAACAGCTGTAAATGCTAACCATATCCACAAACAGAGCACAAAGACTGAACGCATGCCCAAAAACAGGACAGATCAACTGCTATCTGCATCCACAGATGCAGCATTACGGCTAACAAGATCCACAAACATGTCCGTGGACACAGCATAACACAACAGCTAACCTTAAAATCCACAAATACATCCGTGTGAACAATACAGCATCTTACTGTATCTGTCAACACAGCACAACAGCTAACCATAACCGCTAACATAGTGCAACAGCTAACTGTAACCACAGTGAAACAGCTAACCTCTACTGTTAGCACAGCACAACAGCTAACCACATCTGCAAACACAGCGCAAAGCTAAACACATCTGCCATAACAACTACTAGCACAGCACAACAGCTAGACACAACTGCTAACACAGCACAATTGCTAACTATATGCACTAAAACAGTGCAACAGCTAACCATATCATCTAACATAGCACATCAGCTAACCACATCTGGTAACAGGGCACAACTGCAAGCCACTTGCGCTAACATAGTGCAACAGCAAACTACAACACAGCTAACAATTGCTAACTGCATCTGCAAGCTCAGGTCAACAGCTAACAAACACTTTAAATGCAGCACAATAGCTAATCATGTTCATAAAAACAACAGCTAACTTCAACTGCGAACACAAATGTTGACACCATCCACAAACACAACTAAACAATTACTGACTACATTAACAAGCACAACTCAATGGAACTATAACAAACAAACATCATGTTCAACTGTTGCTAAGCTCTCTAAAAATGAAAACAAGTACTGTGTTTATTGAGCTAAAGATATTGTTCTGGCTCATTGAATTTGATGATTGATTTGGCTTTGTATGACTATGGTGTGGAATGACATTGGCAAATAACACTTTCAGTACTGACATAGGTCAGCGTAGTATTAGCAATATTCCACAACAATACACTCTTACTGTGTGAACTTTGATAGATTGTAGTATATCTTTATCTCTGTGCATGTGTATGCATGCAGATGACAGCGAGGAAGAGGACGAGGAAGACCTAGAGCAACAGGACAGTATCTTCAGTCGTCTGGAGGAGCTGCGGTTCGATCTAGAGCATGCCATGGGCTTTGAGAACTTCATTCAAGCCTACAACAAGATCAAGGTCTGAGTTCCTCGGTTTTGCATTAAATGTCAACTCTCACCATGTCTCCAGTGAGATTCAGTGGTTTTGTGCCCGGGTGAATGCATTGCGGAAATACTGCATAACTAAGAGGTCTTTAGTGGTCAAACACCACCAATAACAATGCAGCTATGTACTTCTTAGATGAGGACACTTATACATTTTTAAAAAACAAGTTTTGTTTTTAGCCGTCGTGTTCATTCTGGGAATTAGATACAGATGTTATCCTTAACCTTTAAGAATGTTAAATGTGCTGCCTTGTGGTGCTTTTTATATAGTTTGTCACACTGGAAGTGCAGAAAACTGCTGTGATTTGCTGTAATTTATGCTGCCGCTTACAAAAAAAAAAAACCTTCGGTTAAGAAACCCTTCGTAACAACATGAGATTAGTAAATGATGAAAGAATCTTTTATCTTTGGGTAAATTATCCCTTTTAGAATGTGGTTGCACCTGGCACTGGGCTTTATTACTTGACTTTATCCAGCATATCCAGATTGTAATTTGTATGAGTTTTGTTTGTTTATTTAGGCTATTCATGAGGATGAAGATGAGAACATTGCAATGGGCTCCCGCATGGTGCAAAGCATTTTGGGAACCAAGCACCAACACTTGTATCCTAAAATCCTCCATTTGGTGATGGCAGATGGAGCTTACCAGGAAGGTAAAGTGTGTACACACACATTCTCACTCTGATCCATTCATGCACCATTTCATCTGATGTTCTTCATACAGTCGTACCAGTTCATTCAGTCAGATCTTTGCAGAAATAGAGCAATATAACATGAATGGGTGTAAAAGAGAGCAATTATGTCATTCAGTGCAGTGTGAATCAAGCACTTTAGAGAATGCCCTGAAAACAGTATGACATCACACTGGCAGGAATCTGAGAATGGCTTGATTTTAGAAAGGGGTTTGGATTTATAGAGATTTTTAAAAAAACACTGGGTGGATTTTTATCATTATAGGGTGGTTGTGTACACACACTGCCAAGACACATTTCAGTTCAAACATGTAAAAGTGAATTTTGCATCCAATGACCCCTTTAAATTATTACAACAAAATATTTTTATTACTAATAAAAACAATATACTTATGTAAACACTAAATAATAATGTATTATTATGTATAACATATTATCTTATTTAATTATCACTTTTATTATTAATAATAATAACAACACCATATACACACATGCCTACCTTCCCCAGCTATTTTTTCCAGTTTTTAGTCCCTAGACTTACCAATACAAGCCAATAACAAAAATTTGCCAAAATTACTATAAAATGATTTATGATTTTTATATTTTATTTCCATACTATAAATGTATTTATATTTTTTTTTTATTATTATTATTATTATTGCTTATAATAATAATAGTAATAGAAATACAATACAAAAACATGATACAACAATGTACTGTTCAGCTCATAAAGGGATAGTTCACCCAAAAATGAAAATTCTGTCATTAATTACTCAGGCCCTGTTTACACTAGTGTGTTTTCGTTTTAAAACGCATAACTTTTGCTATGGTTATGCCTGTCGTTAACACTACTTCGGCGTTTTCGACCCTTAAAAACTGAGACTTTTGAAAGCACTGCAGACCCTGTTTTAGTTTGAAAACTCTGGGGTTGCGTTTCAGTGTAAACTGACCAAAACTGAGACTTTTGAAAATGATGGCGTGGCTGCCCACATTCGCTCTGCGTATCCTTGACGACCTTGTAAACAATAACATCATGCTCATTGTTGTACCATAGACATGTATGGCTGCGATCCACTCCACTTTTAGACATGCATTTGCGAACTTCCCTAAGCACTTCCCCTCGGGGGAATCCCTGCTGATTTTGAAGTGCATTCCACTTCGTGACGTGAACGAGGGAATTTTACATGGACATTCCCTCGACCCCTCGATTTTGACCGAGGGAGCGAGTCTGCTTCATATGCACACTTCAGGCCACTCCACAGACCACAATGCAACACGATTATGACGTCATCGCAGATCGCGTTCAATTTATCCCCACCCCAAACAACTCTATAATATATAAATGATTTTTTTAAACATTTGTAACAGCCCAGGCATACCTATATACATATAGAATGCTGCACAAAACAAATTCGTAAGGGGAAAAATGTAAACAATAAACCAGATATTATACTCTATAGAATAAAACTCTATAGCAGATTCTAAGTGATCAAGGGCTTGGGACGTTCCAGTTCAGCCCATTCCAAGGGTTCCGCCAGTAGTGAGCACTCATGCAACGTAAACAATGACGTACATCCGAGTGAGTGAGACGGAGGGAAGTTTGCGAGTGAAGGGCATAAAAAACGGACTGGAACGCAGCCTATGGCGGTTTCATCGGGCGCACGCACCTGGCCCGAAGATAACTTCCAGTCTGTGTTTATTTATCGGTCTGGCTAGTGGCGCCAGCTACAAACGCAGTTAAAGTGATGAGTAATGAAGTTGGGCTCAGGTTGTTGTGCTGTGGGATGTGTTTCCCATACATTTATTTATTTGTGGCGACCCGCCACGATATCAAAACTGACCGATTTTCCAAAAGGCTTCATTGAATAAACATGAGCACGTACTGCACGTTTAAAAAATCAAAACGAGGCGCGGGTGTTTTTATATCACTGTATTTCTGAAGGAAGACTGTCTTTAGAAAATGTTTGATGTCATTTTCATTTCATCTTGCATGTTATATGCCTCATAAAGCAGGGCTTGTGAGCTCAGCGCTGCTTTGTGTACAGCCGTTACTGGGGACACCTCTGTTTCTCCCGCTCTGCTGGCAGAGAATGAATTTGCTTTTTCAATAAGTACGTCTACACAGCAAACATATTTTGCTTGTTATCAAAAATAATCTACTCTAGAGGGACTTAGCTGTTGTTATTGATTCTATTTGGAAGTCTACCAGAAGTTAAGTTAGGGCCACAAAAGCATGCATGCACAGTAACATTTGTTTATATTGTTGCCTTAAAACCTTCTATAGGTAGAATCCCATTCGACCACTCCAAGCACGTAGACGCGTCCGCTATCTAAATAATAGGGCATCTGCCTATACATATCTATGGTTGTACCTGCATGAATGGTCATGTGACATGTGTTTTCGGTTGTGTAGTGTGGACGGAGATCGTTTCTGAAACGCAGTGAAAACGCCAGTGTAGACGAGGATTGTTTTCATTTTAAAACGCCATTTTAAAAGGAAAACGCACTACTGTAAACAGGGCCTCACCATCATGTCATTCCAAAGCCGTAAGACCTTCGTTCATCTTCGCAAATTAAGATATTTTTGATGAAATCCAAGAGCTTTCTGACCCTGCATAGACAGCAACAGAACAACGGACCTTAATGACAGAATTTCCATTTTTAGGTGAACTTTCCCTCAAATGTGTACAGTTCATTCACTAGTCCAAACAGAGTGAAATAGATTAGCTGTTCAAACAAGCAGTGCCTTCTCTTGTAGCAGATGTTTTCAGCACAAGACATGCTGCGTAAGTCTCTGAGCAGTTCCAGGGCATTTGGGTCAGGTCATATCATTTGGGTTAAGTTGCATACATGTGTCTGCTTGTGTATGTAGCAGCCTCTGATTGATGTGAGGGTATTTCTGGCATTTACACTGTGTGTTCAAGGCTAACTCCTGATTATGGACTTTAAGGTGACCTCTGACATGAGGAATATAGCCTGGAAGTTTTCTTAAGATCTCAGTCTCGTAAGTGAGTTAATTATTATTCTTTAACAGTTCCTCTGTTTCTTTCTCTTCTGCCCCACTCTCTCGCTCTCTCGCACTCTCTCAGATAATGATGAATAGAAGTTATTCATCCATGCCGTTGGCAGCCTTGGTCAATCTGCTGGTAGGCTGAAGTGTTCCCATGATGCACTCTGACAGGCTGAGGAGGTGCATGTCGGGGAAAGGGGGTTTGAGAGAGAGGGGGTAAAAAGGGAAATGGTCCACTCAAGCATGGGCAGTTTAAAGTCCACGGTTGACTGTAGTTCTACTTCCATATCTCAAGTCACTTGAGCACTACTTTGTAAATTTTGTGCATATAAATGTGCCGTGTATAATAATATTTAACCAAAGCGTAGCCGAGTGTTAGCAGGTGAGAAGAAGTCTCCGACAGAGATGCACGTGTGTGTACTCCTAGCTGATGACAGACTGTATGTGAAATGCTGCTAGTGCTGTATTCACAACAGCTGAAGCCATGGAAACTGCTTTTTAAGGCTCTAGACTGGCCAGGGAGGTCTAGTTTAGGGGTCGGAGGTCAATTATCTGCCCAATATCAGGTGCTCACGCACAACAGGCAGCGGGTTCTTCTAACCGGCTGTCTACCTCAGAAAACAGATCAGTCTAAACGTCTTGTCTAAAAAAAGTCTTCTCCAGTTTTCTGAACCTCTTTTTCTACTTTTTACACATCGTTTACATAACATGCTCAAATTATTTAGCCTTAGCTTTCAAGATTTCTTACCGGTAAATCTTAAAGCATTATTTCAGGATTTGGCAAAACTGTTATTTAGGAAGTTACTATGCAGATGAAGTTCTTATTGGGGTTTTTAACGTGATGGTTCACCCAAAATTAATATTCTGTCATCATTTACTCCCCCTCATGTTTTTTTGTCCATCACATGGAATAAATGGGGGCCACAACAACATTGGACCCCATTGACTTTAATTGTGAAGAAAAAGTCATACAGGTTTGGAACTGCATGAGTGAGTAAATGATGATAGAATTTTCATTCTTGGTGAACAGTCACTATAAGAGCATTTATAAATGCTGTGCACATGCTTTATGCATGTTGTATGCAGCTGCACCTCCGGTGGGTTGTATTAAATTACCTCTGTGTTTTAGTTGCTGGCAAAATGTGGTACTTGAAAGTGTACAGAAAATTGTTAAATAATTTGCAAGCATTACGGTTTGTTTGCATGTCAGAATATGTATATCTTTGTACTGAGAAATAAATAAACGTAATTTTTTTTAAAGAAAGTGCCTGTGTGTGGTTATTTGGCTATAAAACACTCCGCTTTGAATGTGAAGCAGCTGAGCTAAAATCAGTTGCCAATATCTATTTTCAGCTACCTGGGGGGGGTATTTCTTCACCTATCTGTAACCTGACTGGTCTAGTGAGCTGTCAGTCAGCAACAACCTTGCAGCTGTCACAAGAATTGGCTGGAAGCGTGTAGGGTTTTCCCCTTATCGCAGAACACCCGTACATTCTCAGACAACCACAAACTATTGTGGGTGTGTGTGTGTGTGTAAGTTGTGTCTTTGCCAGATATCTTGAGTCACGTAGTTGCAAGCCTCTACAAATTCATTCATGTGTATTTCCACCGAGATAATTGAACATCCACAAAAGAGTGTCACTGAATACAATACTCTGTTCAAATTGTTTACTCAGCAAGGACACTTGAAATTGATCAAATATGACAGTAAAGACCTGTATAATGTCAAAAGATTTCGATTTCAATAAATGCTGTTCTTTTCAACTTTCTATTCATCAAAGAAACTTGATAACTTCGTATCACCGTTTCCACAAAAATATGAAGCAGCAAAACTATTTTCAACATTGATAATAATAAGAAATGTTTCTTGAGCGGCAAATCAGCGTATTAGAATGATTTCTGAAGCATGTGACCCTGAAGCCTAGAGTACTAATGCTGAAAATTCAGCTTTGCCACCACAGGAATAAATTACATTTTAAAATATGTACAAATAGGAAACTTTATTTTAAATTGTAATAACATTTTGCAATTTCTCTTTGCACCTGAACAGCATCATCAATCATTATGCTATTTAATTTCTCCCTTATTCAGCAAAAAAACAGTTTGAAGTAGCAGTAAAAACACTTTGCCCTCAACTACCATCACTAGTCTTTTATTTCTCACTCTATGTTGTGCTTTGTTTGGCATAAACTCAGTTGTGTGTTGCATTATATCCATTGTCACAGTTAATTATGCCTGTTTGAGCTTCAGCTCTGTGCTATGCAAATACATCTACCTGATCCTGTGGGAGAATTAAATTACACCATACAAGGAAGCACTGATGGATGAAAGAATATATTTTTACTCTCTTTATCATGACAGCGTATTACTCTCATTTGAGTGCCTTTTAATTTCAAGCAAGATGTATATATTGTACCGCAATTTTAGAAACACCAGAGCGTCGTTAATCATATCGGTACGGTTAATGGTTCTGAAATGCTTGCAATTAAAAAAAAGCCAGTATAATTAACTATTTATCATCTAAACGACTATTTACAGATATGAGGATACTCATTTACCATTTCAAGAAAAACTTGGGCTCATGATATAATCATTTAATTGATTCATTGCATTGATATAATGTTCAATATTCGTGGTCAGGAGTCATGGAGTTCGGGAGGATTCTTAATCACTGGGAATGTTTAATATGTTCATGACGGATGGGGTGAGGCAGTAAGACAGCAGAATGGATTGAGGAAGAAAAAGCTGTTATCCTCGTCTCACCCTCCGTTCCTCTAAAATCTTTTACCCATTTATCAAATCCCAAGGGTTGAGTTAATTGACTTCCTGGTTTTGGTTCCCAAAAGGCAATATGTGAGTAAATGAGGAAGATCTCCTATGTATATATGCAATACATACATATTCACGCTCCGTTTGCCATGCACACACATGAATGAATCGTTTTTGCCTCGTATCTGAGTAATTTCATCGATGGCTTTGTGCCTAATATGACAAGTGTTTTGCCTGAAGGTATAATTTTGCAGAGTTTTTCCCTTGATGGGAGTTGCAGATCTGGTTTATTTGTACAGTCTCTATGGGCTTCTTAAACTAGGTTAGATTGTGTTAAAACCCTCCCCCACCTGAAGGCAGATTAATACTGCTCTTTCATTAACCTCTGCACTATTAACCGTCTCTGGTGTGGAAACAGACATTCAATATCCCGTTGAAGTCCTGCTGAGACAGGAGCATGAGGTTATCAATAGCGCGGGCTGTAAAGCGTGTATTGATAGATGTATTGGAGTGGGTTAGAGAGGGAAAGAGAAAGCAGGATGTGTTGGATGATGAACTGCGGAGAACATTTGGTGCAAAGTGTGTTTATGTGGGGAAATTGGGGAGTGTTGTCACACATTTTGCTTCAAAGTCTGAAACTCAGTTTGTGCTGTGTGTCAACCCTTTATATAATGTTCCCATATTTATCTCCGATAAATTAATGAAATCTACAATTTATCCCTAAATTGTGTACATTAATGTCAAGTACAAAGGGTGCTGTTGTTATAACCTACAACACCACCAGGATAGGGAGTAACACTGATAGAGAACATGGACAATTTAAACGGGTTACGTTATAATGTAATCCCCTCAGAACCCGCAAAATCATTCATAATTTCATTGTCATTTTTTTTTATTACAAAATTCTGTACTATTTTGTCTAAATTAATTAAAAATGAAAAAAAGTGTGGCACAAGTGAATTTAGGCATCACATTATTCTAATAGTGTTTTCAAATTTGAAGTGAGTGTTAGATGATGATGATGATGATTAAATACATCTATAAACTATATAAATACATTACCATTCACTAGTTTGAAGTCAGTAAGTTTTTTTTTTTTTTTTAAAGAAATTCATACTTTTATTCTGTAAGGATGCATTAAATTGATCGAAAGTGACAGTAATGTTATTTATAATGTTACAAAATATTTTTTTGTTTAAATGCTGTTCTTTTGAACACTGTATTCTGAACTTTCTAAGAATCCTGAGAAACATATCATCATGGTTTTCATAAAAATATTAAGCAATACACCAGTGATAAAAAAAGAAGAAATGCTTTTGAACAGCAAATCAGCATATTAGAATGATTTCTAAAGGCTCATGTGTCACTGAAGAAAAGAAATCAGCTTTGCCATCACAGGAATAAATTATATTTTAAAATGTACATGCAAATAAAAAACAGTAATTCTATATTGTAATAGTATCTCACAATTTTACAGTTTTTCCTATATTTGTTTGCAAATAAATGCAGCTTTGATGAGTATAAGAGACTTCCAAGAACGTAAAAAAACACCAACTCCAAACTTTTGAACACTAGTGCCATATATAGTGTTGACCAACACTAATAAACTAATATTTCTTAAATGAATATATATAATATTTATAATATTTCTTTAATATTGGTCAATAATATGGTTCCGATGTTTTCAGATTTCTCATTGATTATATTTTTAAATGATAAAACTATCTCATCCTCCTGATTAATTTTGAATTTGACATTGATCTTAGCACTGAACTGATGGGATTGAAAGGAGCCATCCTCCCCCATCAACGCCCCTCATAACTAAAACAGTGGGGTGGAAGAATTATCCCTTAATGTCAAATGCACAGCTAAACTCTGGACTGACCACAGGACATTCAGTGACAGTGGCAATAATATCATGTCAAGTTGAAGATGGTTGACCAAGAACTTGGAGGTTATATAAAAGCTTTGTTACTTATTAATTGAGAGCAACACCTGTATGGCTACAAACAAGCCAAGAATCAGTGGTTGTACTGTACCTAAAATGAAAGCAGAGAATATCAGCCCTCACTCACACTAGCCCTCATTCTGTGTGCAACATTAGATCATGAGTTCACAGTTTTGAAGATTTAGATGGTCGTGGTAGATTGTCACGGCCTTGGAAAACAGATGCGTTCAAGCTGCAAAAGATCCCTGAGTCCATTATTCTGTCTGGCTCTCATGTTTTGAGGAAAAAGCATTTGTCACGTCTCCTCTCTCTCTCTTTCTGCTATCCGTTTCTCTCGCTCAACCCCTCCTTGCTTTTTTATTGCCCGTGACACAGCTGTCGCCTCAGACGTGGCAGAATCGTGTGTGCTTTAATGTGTGCGTGCAGACAAATTGCTGATCACAAACTCACTCAAGGGAAAAAATAAAAGCCAAAATAACATTCTAGCTCTGGCACTTGAGTATAATGTGATTACCTTCTCCTTTTGTATAAAGAATGATTGTGCATAAGGCTATGAAAGCATGCATAAATGCAGTATATATGTTGAAATGATGCATCAAGGACACTGTAAGAATCTATAGTCTGCCCCGACCCAGATTCCACTCCACAATATGTTTGATCATGCTCATTTCCCAAAATGGCTTAATTATTATAGAGAAGAAGAAAGTCAACAGTTATGTTGTTTCTAGACCATTTGGGATGATCACATCCTGAGCAAATGGGGACCAATTGTAGAACGGGAGCAGGTGTGGGACACCGAGAACCACCTCAGACAAAGGGGTGTCAGAACTTAATTAACATACAGACCACAGCTGTTACAACAGGAGCAACTTCATTTGGATTAAGGGTAGTAAACTGTAACTGTATAAAAGGTTTGAGTTTAGGATATTCTGGGTTCATTCCGACTCCGTTGAACCCAAGGTACTACATGTACTTTGTCACTGCTATGCTGCAATAAACATCTTCATCGAGATCTTCATCGTCCTCATCAATTTTCTTACAACACTTTCAATCGATCAAAAGTGAAAGTAAAAGACACTTGTTACAAAAGATTTATAGTTTAAATAAATGCTATTCTTTTGAACTTTGTATTCATCTGAGCTTTTTAAGAATCCTGAAAAAATGTATCACAGTTTTCACAAACATATTAAGCAGCACAACACTGATAATACTAAGATTTTCTTTTTTTTTTTTGTGCATCAAATCAGAATATTAGAATGATTTCTGAAGGATCGTGACATTGAAGACTGGAGTAGTGATACTGAAAATTCAGCTTTGCCATCACAGGAATAAAGTATATTTTACAAATTTATTAAAATAACAAATAAATTAGTTCTAAATTGTAATAAAAATGGTAAATTATAATATATTTTTTAATATATATATATTATATTTTCTAATGCACAGCTGGCACTTCAAAAGTGGCAGAATTGTGTGCACTTTAATGCGTGTGGCTGCAAATTGCTGACCACTTAAAGGAAAAAAATAAAAGCTA